GTGGTTTAACACTCCCAAAAATGACTTTAAACTTTGCAATGGTGCAGTATAGATAAATTGTTCAAGGGATCGGGGTTATATATGCATAATAACAGTTAATAAATGAACTGCTTTTCTTTATGCTGAAAACGTACATATATTTATTTGCACTTCTCTGTTTTATACATACGGCATTGAATGACGAAATTGTTCCCCAATACGTTTTTCTTTGAAAATCTGAGCAAGGACCTTATGAGACCAACTCGTTTACAGCGCCATAATAAAACAAAGCACCCTGCTCATCAAAAAAAGTATTCGGCCTTTTTTTTTTAAGCAATAGGGGAAACCTTGATAAACCCGAGTATGTTTAAGCTGCCAGTTTTGTTTTGGGAGAGGCGAGCAGTAAGAAGTTTACAAAGATTTTTCTTTCATATAAATCAGCAAAATCATGACCACGAATATGACAGATGACAGGCAATTTTGTTAAACTCTCGAAAGTAGAATTTGAAAGACCAAGAGGTTTCAAAGCAAATTCGAAAAATTACCATCTACATAATTCAAAATTTCTCAGTACCTGCTAGAGTGCAATATTGTATGATAAGCATATATCTGATATATCTGAGACGAGGTATTGTCACAATACATCAGAACCTATCAGCACTTCAATAGTGACATTTACTTCAGGGAAAGATAAACCATGCAAATGTGGATACTGTTACCTGAAATATATATATATCCGTGATACCGTTCCACTATTTCCTGATGTGTGGAATAGGGCCACGTAAATCAGAAATAGCATCAAATGTTAAATACCATTTACACATATTTCTTCATGCTTATTACTACTAGTGAGAGGTTTCTTTTTCTTTCCTGCGTTGGACTTGAAACCACTGGCAGTGTAAATGGTAGCCTACAATCCTCAGTTTCACCTTCCAAGGTTAGCTATTAGCAAGCTCAGTGGCGCGGACACGAACGTGACCATAATCAAGGGATGCATATGCAAATGAAAAACAATCAAAATCATTAGCAGCAACTTCAACTGATACGACCATTAGTCACACTAGGATAGGATAATATTCTACATTATTTGAAATAAAACTTGCATACACATTACTCACGCCTGTCCCATTGGAGCCGCTGTGTTTCGCGTTAGAAATTACAGTTTTTTGAGAACACATGGTGTCATCATGAAGAAGTGTGTGCTGTTTCTTTCCACAGTTGGTAATTTAACATGTGCAGGTAGGTTTGCAATCCTTTACGTTGTGCCCTGCACGCAAAAAGGGTTCGCGAACAAAATCTCTACGCCGTTTGGTGTCTTTATTTCGCGCAGTGATACAGAAATGCAAGATGGACATTGAATTTGACTGTTTTTTGTGACTTTCGAGTCAACTTTCTCATGAGTTAAACCAGTTGCTCAATTTTGAGTTTCATCATCTTTCCAAGTGTTCTAGCAGTAACAGTTATCCTTAATAAATAAATTATTCTAATAACTACATTAACATAAAACAATATACAAAAAAAATTAGCAAATGCAAAATATATAATATCAACATCTTAATTTCCTATTTAAAATAGTGCTTTGCACATACTTCATGATTCTTTTAAAAGGGTTTGTTTACTAAAGAATTTTTCACATTTCTTCTACACATTGTTGCCATTGTGATCTGCTTTATTTTCGAATATAATCGAATTTCTCAGGAACCAAATATTATATCCTACTATTGAAAACAAATAGAATGATTGCATTAAAATATACAAAATAAAAGATCGTTAAAATTAAACAATATGCAAGAATTATAGATTATAACAAAATGTATTCTGATCAATTTTAATATAATTGAACAAACGGAATCAACAAAAAAATTTCTGGGTAAATTCATCAGACATGAAAATATGTGATATAAACTCAGGTTCTATATTGCATATAACCACATTTTATTTTCTGCTATTCTTTTAATCTCTGACTTTGTTTTCAACAGCAAGATATCCCAAAGTATTTATAGTAATTAAAATGTTTTTATTTAATTTTCCAAAATTTGTAAACATGTGGGCCTAAAGAATAAAGGCAAATGGTCAACTCTTCTTCCCCTTGAAATACTGAAAAAAATCACTCATGTTTGCTAAACTCGGTTCAGCAGATGAATAAACTGCCGTTCACGAAATTGCAGCAAGCATTTCTACCTCTATTGTTACGTAACATACGTTATGGTGATTAATTAGTGTAAGAAAGGACTAACTGTTGGAGAGTTATCTATCTAGTTTTCTGCCAGACATTTTCAAGTTCGGTTATAATATCGTAGAGCTTTGTGCCTGATTCGGTCGAATAGTATAGAAATTACGATAAAACATAAATAAACATCAATGCATAGACAGCAAAGTTAGCTCACTTAAATTATGTTTCGGACGTATGTGCGTCATAAAGGATGGGAATAAAACAAGCAAATATTAACTAGTATCGCATTTAGAATATGAAATTAGTTCATTCAACCCAATATGAATCTACTGCGCCTATAAAATTAACTGATTATCGCAAGACTACGAAAAGCAGATACTGTATTGCGAAACAAATTATCAAGAACACTATCTGGAGTCCATAATTAAAATCGGTGAACATTTCTCACACTAATTATTATCTATTGAGCGTCATTCGAGTCGCATACCGATAGCCCGGCAACAAAATATATTGTTTTGATCGAACAATCACTAATAGAATTCCTACCGTGCATGATAGTTCTTCAACTTGGAGCCCAAATTTAATATGTAGAGGAAGTCGCGGTATTTTATTAAAGAGAGGGAAAGCTATACGAGCTAAGGACTGGACCGCCCCCATCTGTCTTTAAACAACACAACGAGAAAACATATTCATATTATATTGGGTATAGATGAAAAACAAACGAGCAATAAATTTAACGAGTGTTCTTCAACCGGGTATACGGTATACTGAAGTGTATACCGGACCATAGGTTGGGTATACAACTGATAAATGGTACACGAAAGGTGTATAGCCTAAGTCAGGGATTCTAAAACTCTAATATAACAAATTATGAAATATTCAAGCGGAGACAACAATGCAAACGCGGCGCACATGAAATATCAAATGCCATTAACGCTAAGAACCGACGTGATCACATTGTTACATCACAAATTATATAGATAATGCGGCCACGTGTCTGGGTTGATGATTTCGGCTGCTATGCACTTCGTTTGATCTACGTTGAACATTATTCCCGTTGACACTAAGGCCGTCAGTCAAATTTATAACTTGCGGACACTAGCCTATTATATTGCATGATGATATTGCAGTACTATATGTGCTTAAAATTTATTGTTTATTTAAGCTTTGAATAAACATTAGTCTTTGTAAGGTATACAAAGTTTTTGAAAAATTGTAAGGTATACTGTGGCAAGTACATAAGGATAGTTACTGTGTATTTTAATATTTTCACCACTTATTGTTAGTAGTGCATGTTATTTGCCTGAAACAATGTCGTTGTCCCAATTCATTTCCTTCATGATATATTTCTCTCACTCAGTGTAGCTTGTCTTTGCCGTTCTTTGTTAGTTAGAAATTTGGTTTCATCACATATACTTGCTTTAAGGTTTCAAGTGTAATTCGTTATTTGGATCAATTCAACTGTGCAACTTTACAATATAATATATTGGCATTCAATGCATTGTGTGCTTTTTGACCTCTGAAGGAGTCAAGATCGGAGTTACACTCTGTTAACGTGTGTTCAATAACACGGGAGTGTGGACACGCAGATAGGGTCGAATCTTTGTTGCCCTATAATACCACGATAAAAAAAGGTTGAAAAACATTGAATTAAACAGGCAAAAATTGTTTGTCATTTGTGTTTTTTTCGCATACACGCTGTTACCAACCGCCAGGGTTTCAACTAAATTTGTATCATTTAGATTTTTTACACGGCTGTAATGTGGGACCTTACAGAAATTGTAACTTTAAATGAACGAGCCTGGTTGTTTTCCCTTAATTACACGCATTGGTTTATAAGCATCAGAATAATAATCAATCGTCTCATTTGACATTTCATTTTCTCGTCCTACGACGAGGATGCCGGCGAAACCTTCATTATATACCGTCTCATTACGCAAAGAGTTGATGTTTAAAATCAAATTACGTAACATTCATTTATGTCTTGGTTGAAAAGTCCGAGTTAATGGAATGCGTGCATTTTTAATTCGCACGTCGGTGTGTCTGGTCAATATTATGTTCAAATCCGTAATGCACTAATCTGGCAAAGGTATCTATCAATTTACTTACTATTGACAAGCAATTATTATTAATGGATCAAATGAACGCGTATGAAAGTTTGTCAGATCGCTGATGTTAAGTTAGCAAGTATGACGAATGGATAACATTCAGCACGAATGTTCTCAGTGTCAGGAGTATTAACGTCTGAGGTTTACATATTTACATTATTAGACTGGATAAGACTATTAATCTCTGCTAGAGCCGTTTGTTGGAACTGCAACAAAAATGAATTCCTTATCCCCGAATCACGAATAGGATCAGAGAAAAATAATTCCTCAGTTTATCAGAATGAAGTATCATTGTGACGTCACAGGACTGAAAAGTTTCTTTGAATGAACAATTAACAGGACTGCCAGTATAGTTTAGCGAGGCATAACAAGTTCTAGTGTCAGTCTATATTCGCTGGTCGGTTCCATTACATTTGAACCCACGTACATTTGAACCCATGACAATTGCACCTGTATGCTGTTGCACCTATGGAATTTTTTTTGTTTCACTGATAGTTAAACCCATACTAACCCTAACCCATGGGTTTTAGCACCCGCATATAGATTGAACCCGTGGATATACGCATGGGTTCAAATGTACATGGGTTCAAATGTACGGTCACCTCGCTGGTCAAATAAATAAATAACAGAGATACGATTTATCACACAAACTCCTTTTTGGAAATGATATATATATACTTATTTAGATATATATAAGGAGATATCGCAGTAATCGTGAACGCGGACGCGGAATGATGAGTTTCAATTCTAATCAAGTCGAGTCTTCCCAAGAAGCCAGGCTATTTTCTAATATAGGTATATAAATTAACAGCTTGAGTTGTTGTCTGACCTCGAGAAGTAGAAGTGTTTTAGAATATGTGCCTTATTTTACACACATCAAATGGTTACGTTATTTCGCCATAAGTTACGCAAATGCGTATTTCAGATGATTGTTGTTCAATTTGGGACCAATTTGTCAATTTATCCTAACGGCTGTCCGTTACTTAATTTTCCTCGTGCACAAAAAAGTCCTAATTTGTTTTGTTTACACATGCAGAATTTCTTTACTACGTGCGAAATTTTGAAAAATGGACAAATCTGATTATAATCAGCAGAACAACACTATCCATTGCGACGAAGAAGATATAAATAGAAATGCATATATTGCAATTCTATCGGCAATGGAAAGTATGTCCGTCCTTCTCATGATAAACTTCACCCTTTTTCTTGCATATAGTAGGAAACGGCCTGGTGGGCCACGATTACATTTTTCTGATGTTCACAGAAAAGTACTACACATATCTCTTCTTATAATGATCGGTATGATTAACCTCAGATTAATTATCGAGATAATTAATCTTGCATTGGGAAGAATGTTCACGGATGACGAGAACGTTGTGTTTATCGTTAAACTCTTGTTTGGTGTTATATGCGACTCCTGTTTGTATACTTTTCTGTGGTTGCGACAATGGACATTATATAATCAGCCAATGTTGCAAGAACAGAAGACAACAAAGTTTAAAGTTGTGAACGTGTTGGTGTGGATCATCGGTATTTGTCTTGTTGGTGCAATGCCGGGTATTTATTTGTTTGTTTTTCATTCCTATTTTTTGAATTTGTATCATCTTGTTCATGTTAGAGAAGGCGAATGATTCATGCGTTGCTATACGTCAGTAAACATTAGCATTAGGTTCTAAAAAAGCGAACATTCACATTTTAAGGAAGCACTGAACGTTGTTATGCTGCAAGCGAATAAACTATTTTTTTCATTCAGCAAACGATCCGCTAATATAACTATATCGTTTCTTTATATTTATACTGCGGTATATCTTGACTTCTGGAATTTTGTATCTAATGAACACATCTTTGACCCATCTCAGTTGTTAAAACGCACTATATATATATAAACTGTGATGCCATACAGGCTATTCAAATAAATTATTTATCACAAATGAAGATTTTGCATATATTAATCACAGTGAAGCACTGATCTGCAGCGTATATTCCAATTTCTTTTTACGAGTAAAATTGAATTCGGAATGTGGTAAAATACCCTTCGTTACATTTTTAAAGCTTTGGATCGGATTTATACTTTTTAATTACGTATCAAGTATACAATTTGTAAGTAATTGGGTACATTTTCTTTTCAGGAATATTGATATGGTATCGAGGATCGCGTGAACATGAAGAAGGCTGCCTATTTGAAAAAAATGGATGGGGTATCGCTTACGTAATTCATTCGTTATTCTCAATCGTGTACGAAATTCTTCTACTTGGTTTCTTCGTGTATCTTGTAATGCGGACTAGATCCCAATCGCAAAAAAAGGCAGTTCCCGCCATTATCAAAAGGTCCTTAGGTTCTGCCTTGCTTTGTTTTGCATGCGTTGTTTGTTTTGCATTTATTCACAAGCTTGCTATTGCTTCAGCTACCTTGAACTCAGTAACTACCGACTTAGAATATCTTATATATTACTGCTGTTTGGTTGCCTCATATAATGACTGGAAAGAAAAAATGCTCGGGAAACTTTTTATCAAAAGCGGATATAAAAATGAACCTGGATCATTTTCTTCTAAGAGCCGGAGAGTGAAAATATCATTGCGAAAAAATGAGACTGAATAGTTCTGATGTCCTCAGATAAAAATAAAAGGTGAATAAATGCATCCTATTTGAGTTGATATTCCGCAAAATTGATTAGTAAAAGTTGTTTTATTTTGAGATATATATTCTTCAGATTTTTTCTTCTAGGCTTCTGTAGAAACTTTCTAAAGCTTGAATCCAATTCACATATATATGTTGCACGTCGAAAACTAATGAAACTAATGCTTTTTTTTAAATAGTTATATTGGCAGTTTGATAACGTTTTATGGTCACTCAAAGAATGATGAAGAAAGACATTGAAGTAGGAGAATCAATAATTTTTGACCATATTTATCCACACTCAAAGACGTTCATGGAAAGTTTTTTATTCAATATATATACTTTTGACATGATTTTATTCATATTTTTTATTCTAATATCGCATTTTTTTTAATTGTTCAAATACAATCAGTTTCTAGAAGTAGAGGAAGGTTGGAGGACACTTTTGCATCTTTTGAATCCTATAACCTGCACATTTGTTTGACTTTGCAAGTCTAATGCATAGAAAAAAACGTTTGTCAAGTGTCCCACTGCTCCCCACCGATGGGGGCATATTTGGACACAGCCTAGTGAACAATGGGCCAGTCTATTGAATTCAATGAAATATGCTGTTAAAAATTAGTAACATATCAGCATCATTATCTAAAGAACTGTGGGACTTCAAATCTGGAGATTTGAAATAAATGTTCAACCAAAATATTTCAGATATTTTTCAAAAAAAAATATATATCCCGGTAACATAAAACCAAATTGATGATATAGGCTACGTATCTAAAGAGTCTGCCATTGTAGAATTAATTGTTGAATATTTTAGATTCTAATTTCAACAAATTGAAAATGAGTTCTGGAACTTCAATCCTGGACGATGACAGTTCTTGATAAAGATCATACTCAAAAAAAAACGAAAGTGTAATTTACTACAATCATTAAACATTTTTCATTGGGTTCAATGGAACAGCAAAACCAACATTTATATATATATATACCAACAAGTAAAATTTCTAATTCCGGCCAAAAGAAAATGATTTACTTTTTTCAATACACTCTAAAAAATTAATTTTGAATCTAAAATTTATTCCACATGTGGCCATGGGTCAAAAGATAACATTACACAAAACATAACGCATCCCTAGGCCTTTGGGCAGTGGTGGGATTCAGCCGGTTCGCACCGGTTCTATAAGACCGTCTCACGGAGTTTCATGAGATCAGAGAACCTGTTAGCATTACTAGTAACTGTCATAGTTCTGTTTGTAACAGAACCGGCTGAAAAATATGACTTTTGTGAAGGAACCGGCTGACAAAAAATTTAATCCCACCACTGCCTTTAAGCACCCAATGGATAAAACACTGTCGAATTATGCCAGGTGGAGCATGTCTAACTGAGCACCGGTCGATTGTTCTCCATAAGCATCAAACATTTTCAGACTGCTCCATGTAAAGATTAGGAGGGCACATCCTCTCGCCAACGTTATGAATATTTCACAGTGGACTAAAGCTAAAATGTCAGACAGTGGTTTGACTTGTTGAAATTGGTAATTTAAATACCCCACACAACTGATCCACATATATCTATACCGCCACGACTATCAGAAGGAACAAACAGATAGATAAATATACGGTAACTATGCAAAAACTACGATGCGGGTTTCCTATATATATCAGTGATCCGTTTGCTTCAAATGATGAAAATCTATTGTCAACTTGATAGAAAACTTGCAGTTCTCCCTCTTTCTGATTTTGTCAAGTGATTCGCAAATCAATTGTGAATAGGATAGAATTGTAATAATGTTCAATAAAAAAGTTATTTATGACCACCATACGGAATGATCAGGGCCGGACATTCAGGTCTGTCGGTCGGGACAGCTTGCCAAAATCGTCACTGTCCCGACTGAACCTATTCTGTTTCTGACTATTCTCTCACTTTTAAAAAATGATAAAATTTATTTACTGTAGCATTCATGTATGTATAGTTTTGACACGCAAAACAGTCAAGCATGGCGCCTAACACTTCTTTTATGCGGTGAAAGCGGGCGTAGATATTTCCATCATGTAACCGCATATTCGGCACCAACTTGCCCAATTCATGCTAGGCATGCTGATAAGGACATGCAGTTGGTGACTCGAGCATGGCGAATCGAAGGCGTGTGGACTTTTTAAATTGAAAGCTGTTCGAGTGGTTTAAACGAAACAGTATCACTCGACTCAAAAATATTGGAATGAATGAACTCATTTTTGCAATATATGCGATATAAATTTGAAAGATTTGATTATGATCCGAATATACAACGAGAACATTAAACAACATATTTCGTTCATATATTATATTTTGTTCCATTGACATTTTGTTGAAAGGGAGTTTTTTGTATGCCATTTGACATGAAATTGTTAGAGGCCACTGTGACCGATTAGTTGAAATGTTTCGGCACATACTAAGAAGCACATGCAATTTGTAATATAGCTATATATCCATAATCACAATATCAACAATCCCGAGGATTGTGCAATACAATGTCAAGCGAACAACGAAGCAGGAGAAGAAGGAGAAGCAGAAAAGAGATACTTACAAGATGATCAACAACATAACATCGAAACGATCCATGATATGAGTGAGCCACACACACACACACACACACACACACACACACATTAACCACCAGATCAGCGAACTGCGTCCCGAAAATTAACTTAACAGAATTGTGTTAAACACAACTAATATATGATGGAATGCTTACGTATTGTATTAATCACGAAGGTTTTATTTGTTCATATTTCAAATGATGTGTTAAATGTTACGTAACATGCAACGAATAACATATCGGTAACTGTTATGTAACAATAGGGTTAGACCAGGGGTGGGAAAGGTTTTTGGATCAGGGGCCAATAATTTTGCCTACCTAGACTGGCGGCTAAGTAAGTGTGACGTAATCAGTTACGGTACATTTCACGAACAATATTTGAACTGAAGTGTTGCAAAAGTGAAAAACAATAAGCCCGTGCCAAAACTGAATTTAATCGCAATCTCGACAAATTGCCTGAGGTATTTTTTAGCGTGCCAATCTTAACCCCCACCTGACTACGCTATCCAAAAATTACGTCAGTGCGACGTCACAGTGACGTAATAGAGGCCTTCAAACTATGCTGCCATCCAAGACGCGCAGAACAGCTATTTCTCTCGTTTTCTCGTCGCTACGATCACAATAAAAGAGAGATCGATGACGTTAGTCCTTTATCGTCGGCGCCGATCCCATTTCGGGCGATCGTACGTATATTTGACAAGCTCTATGACGTGATTGTGATGTCGTAGTGACGTAATTTTTGGATGGCGTAGTCAGATGGGGGTTGGGATTGACATATCAAAAAATTGTTATCCTACGCCCATTAGAAGTACGTTGAGTACGAAACTAGCTACACGAGACCCCAAAAAGTTTGGGGGCCGCTGCGCTAGATGATGATCGAGGTTCGTCACTTCGTTTTCTATAAATAATCGGAATTGCGAAAATGCGTGGCTTCTGCATCGCTTACACTCTACCACCAGTTTGTATAAATATCCGTATTATTCACGAGGGGAAAAATAGATATCAGCGTAAATGAATACTAATGCGATGTCAGTGTATATCATTATAAAATTCAGTATTAATCTCCCCCTCTCTCACGGTACCTCGTACAACTGCGGTAACTTTGATTTCCTTGCTCGTGCGAAGCAATATCGTTACACGCGCGTGATTTAAATCCGCAATGCTGCGGTTTTCACCGCAAGCCACCATGCCTTTTAATTGCATGTGAATGCGGAAAGGGCAAGCTTGATTAAAGAACGGAAAAGTAGTTTGAATTAGGAAGCAGTCAAAAATGTTTTCTTATATTTACTGTACTGTAATCCTGCATTGAAACGTTGCCTATATTCTGACATAGTACATGTAGTACTGGGTATGGCCTTTCTAAGATCGGTCAATCGGTTGTCTGGTTGCGTTGTTTTTGAAGGCCTAATACATTATCAAGACATCCCGTAAATGCCAATTTTTCAATTAATCTAGTGCAGGAGTATTATAGGCCTACTAAGTAAGTGAATGATTGTGTAATTGGATTTGAACTTTATTCATTACTGTATTGATTATGTTTTTGGGTTTTATATCTCAGTATCTGCAATTAAATGTTTTATTTTAATTTTTATATATATTAATTTATGGCTTTTTCACACTGTTATAGATACTCTTGGCATTGAGTTAGAATAGTGGATTCGTACACACATTGACTGATGATCAGCATCCACACTTCTTGTTACTGAAATGGCATCAAAGCTTTTGATTGTTATTGGAGTTTTAGATGACGAAGATCATATTAAACAAGTTGTGAAGAACATTGAACTTGGTCAGAAAATTGCAACATACAGTTCATTACCACAGTAACAACATCTGTAAAATAAAATGAAAAATTAATGAAAATCCATTCATGTCTTCATGTTCATATTCCATTAAGCACTCTAATTATTATTTTGTGTTCTCAATTCTGCTAAATATGTTGTCCATTCTTGTCACTGTTTTCATAAAACATCTGGAATTGTCTCGTGCCAATTTGGACTCATAGTTCATAATTTTTACCAAAAACATTATGTTTAATCATAGTATTTGGAGGGATTCAAATTTTCTCAACTTCAATATAATATTTCAAGGCCTAAAAACATTTGCTTCAAAACAAACTTCATTTACGTAAACTTGAATGCTTATTTATATTACTTCTATTTTTTAACATTAGGTATTGAAAAATGGATGAGCGATATGTCACTAGATGAACACGATGAGATGATACATGTGTTGAATAACATACCATCAATGAAAAGTATTCCAAATAGGCACGCAGAAGCTGGAACAGGTTCATGCAATATTTAATATTGGTTTTACAAAGGTTTCAGGTTTTACCTATTCTATAATCTTATTATTATTCAAAAAATATGATGATCTATCTATCCATCTAAGTTTTTTTGTGTGTATTTTAGTTCATGAAGCAATGGCAGAATGGTGATAGCTTAAAATACCTCCCCTTTTGATTTTGTTCATGCGACTTCCCTTGTGCAAATATTTAATAGATGACTTGTAAGCAACAAAATCATGATGCGGAATTCATTTTAGAAGAATTTTATACTAAATAGGACATAACATAACATGGGACTAAACTTAATGACAGAAATTTTTTTTTCCATGTATCCAATGAACTGGATTTTATGCTTGTGTAGCAACGCTTCCATTTCTTTATGATGAAAAATCTATAAATATCTCAAATCAAGTTTTGATTTGGCCTTACAGCATATGTCATTTGCATGTTATGGTTCAATAAATACAGTGATTTTCAACAAAGCTTGAGAAGAGAGAAATACATTATTCGACAGCTGATTGCATTCATCTGCTTGGTGTTGTAGAAATAATTCATTATAATTTCATTGATTTTTGTGGAATTGGATCAATATTTGGAATAATTGGGCAGTGGGTTGAAGTGAACAGATTTTACTTTGATTTCACAACCCACATGGGTGTTTGCCACAGTTACACGCCTCAACAGTTTTTAAACGCTTTGCTTATTTGATATGTTTTTCTATTATGACCAAGTGTACAGAAAAATGTTAGCAATATGTTTTTTCCAATGAGCCGCTCAGACATTTTTTATCTTTAAGAGTTTAGGTATAAGTTATAATGGTCAATATCACATTTTTTCTTTCGAGGAGTATTAGTTTAGAGGTATGTGGTCAAATATTTGAATCAGAATGATAGTCATGAACATGTTCATCGATTTGCAAGCGTTAATTATCAAAAAAATTTTGTGAACTACACATAAAATATTTTGTAATGATCAAAATTAAATATTTTTGGGGTCAATGGTAGAAATATTAAATCGTCCCTTCAATTATATCATCAAGTTGACCATACAAATCTTTAGTTTTGTCACCATATATGCACAATAATTGGGTTTGGTGGTAACTATACACACATATTGTAATGTGCCTATTTTCTATCTCCGTGTTTAGTAAGATGTTGACACGTACCATTATGTTATAATTGTTTACGGTATGTCTTTAAAGTCATCCTGCTAACTTGTGTCTGTCTCTTTTCCCCCAATTTGTATTGAAGCTTTTTTCGAAACAAATCAATACTTGTTTGCAATTTGAATGTCTGGTGTTATTTTACTTATTGATTTTCTCTGTGTTGCAGCTCTAGGGAGCATTTAATTATTCCTCCTCTTCTATTGCTCATTCCCTTTTTTTCTTTCATGTCTACAGTTATCTCTAGGTACAGTGGGAGAATATTGGACACTACCGTATTGATCAGTCCCACTAGTGAAAATCTTCATTACGAAATCGTTGACCTTTTTCTCACTGCTACTCCTCGTTGTCTCATTGCTTATAGTGGATTCATCACTGAAGGTAGTGGTGATTGGGTACTTCAAGACGGGATCTTTTCGTTCAACAACTTCAACCAAATTTTGACAGGTAAACTGGATTTTATTATCCATACATATATTATACTAGATTATTTTATAGTTGTTTAAAATTCATAGATTCTGTTTTTCAAATTAGGAAAATGAGTATTTTATGTTTTCATTGTGTTACTAGTTAAAATTTATTAACAGTTTTTTTTACCCGATCTTCTTTATTTCAAACCAACTCAGTCAGACAGTTTAAAAGTGAAAACTCAGTTGAGAAAGCTAGTTTATTTATTGAATCTTGCCTCCTCATTTTGGAGTGTCTATTTTTTACAACAATAATACGAGTTACAAACTATTATTTGCACTGATACCTTATGATATGGTCTACTTTTCAGCTAATACGCTTAAAACCTATTTCTTAATCACTTACCGTAGTTGTCACTTGTAAGCTTTCACAATAAAAAGATTCTGATGAATCAGATTGCTAAATTAATTATTGCTATTAAATAGACACAGTTTTTATACTAAATTATGGATATCAGTAGCAGAATGTTTTTTCAATCAATATCATCATGATTTTTATCACTTCTTATGTTAAAATTTTTTAATCAGGCAGACTTTCTATGAATATTTCATGTTATTTTTATAGTGCCCTGTTATGAAAAAATGGGAGGTCGGTTAAAAGTGATGTCATAAAAAACATGCACTCAACTTTCCAGACTGAAATTGCTTACTGTTGTTTTTTATGGATTTATATAATCATGCTTGGAAAGGATAAATTTTTCTCCTTCCCAAGATAACCCTGCTTTTTATTTGATGGGATTCCTCCTTTATAAAATATGCATGAAGCTAAAAGACCTTTTTCATTATACAGTCTGGATGTCTGGAGATAGGTGTAACCACCATAGATAGAAATTGCTTTTTATTCAGACAGGCAGATAACCAGTGAGCTTTTAAATTGTTATTGCTAGATACTCCCTACTGTTATGTAGATAGGTATTTTTCAGAATAGTATCTCAAAGTATTGTTAGAAGTTAGGCAGGGCAAATGGGAGTGATGTATTCGTGATTGTGTGACCTATTGATTATTAGTTTGACATATTAAAATCAAATACAAATTGGGAATCTTCTATTCTTGTAAAGAAGTCTTCTGTGCTATTAACTTTCCTATAAATTTATAATTTAATGTTCAAACAGCAAGTATTTTACTTGATAAAAGTCATTATTATTGTTTGATTTTCTGCCTCTGAATTTGATTTGCAGTTCTCATAATTGTGTTTATTCTTATCATTGACTGCGATAAATGAAGTTCAAGGTTGATTTGAAATTGAATCCTATGGTTTTACATTTTATTATATTCATGAAATTGCTTGAAATCAGATATAGAGTGAAATAAATTTTGAATATTTGAATGGTCATCATAAGGCTCTACCTCTGTCAATCATTACCTATATTCCGACACTCTGGATGCACTTAAAGTGGTATTCATGTATTGTCTATATTGTGCATTTGCTTGACATGGGCTTGAAACATAGATTTACCGGTAATCTATATTTTGGTCAAGCATGATGAGTGGGTCCCTTGTTCTTGTGATCAATAAATTGAATTTTCTCAACTCGTCTGTATTGAATATTCTCAAGGGTACAACGTGCCCTTGTTCCATGACTGTCTTAACATTTAACAATCATTATGTGTATCCCTAATGAGGTCGAGCTTGATTTGTACCTAATTTTTTGTTATTCACAACAGATTCCAAAGTGATTGCGGCATTATCCGAACATAACTCTAAGATCACAATCAGTTGTGCTAAGTTAGGCTTGTGGGCAGATATAGACGGAGAAAGCAAGTCTGTTTTGACGCCAATACCTGGTTCAAAAATATATCTCAGAGTTATGGATCTCCAAGTTTCACAGATGAATGGTGAGTTACAAATACGTGTTTTGAAATTATAATTGACGTTAACAATGAAAATGATCAATAAATACTTTGAATTGGAATCCTTATGGCCGTTTAGCCGTTGATATTTTGTTAGATGTAATTTGAATGACTGAATCGTTCATATTATAAATAGGCCTACCCTTATTTTGCTGTCATTCTGATTTAAATGATGTTCTTATTAGGCGCCAATTAGGATTTTAATACTGTCACTAGTGCTTTTATTGATGAACAGTAATTTGTAGTTTAATAATTTGTTATATACAAGTCTTTTCCAAAATGTTTTACATCCTTGTTTCGAATAGGTAGCATGTCATATTGACTATTTCCTTGATGAATATATCTATATATATTGAAGGACTCAGCTCAAGAGTACTTCAGAGCAATCTGTTTGAAAATATTTCAGTGTAAAACAATAAATATTTGGATTAAAGCTCTCAATTATTATCTTTCTGACTAATTTATATTGAATAGGTGGAGGTGATCACCAAGCTGATGTAAGAAAACAAGGTGGCGACATTGAAGAATTTTCTTCTTTTTTGGAAGAAGGAATCGGCAATGAGGTAGCTGTTTCTATTGTTTGTTTTCAAAATATCAATTCTGCCAATTATACCTAAACTAATCATGGCTCAAAGATATATCATTTTAATGAGCTCCCTTTTTTCCATATATCATGCTTGAAGTAGAAATATTTGTAATTTTGAATGACACCGGATGTAAATACCTGTCAAACTTGAATAAGCAAATTAATTATGCAACAACTTTGAAGGAAAAGCTGAAAATATGGAGACCTTTACCTTTTTGATACACTCTTTTCATTTTGATCGTCTGACTTAGACAAATTTGTTTTTAATGGGAGATACCATTAACACAACTGCTGTACCAATCTCTCCTTAGAAAAATTAGAATATAACATGAAATGATATTGTTGTTATATAAAGTAGTCTCTCATACCAATATGAGCTTTAGTAATTCATAGCCAAATAAAAATGACAACTTTGGTCACAGCTGTTATAGTAGGTTCGTTTATGACATATTTTCAGGGTATTACAATTAATAAATAATAAGTTACCTTGTATGAATCATTTGACCAAGACTAAGCTTTTATGAGATTTTTGAAATTTTAAGAGGATTTTATAGATTTTGTCATTCATAATTAATTTGGGAATATATTATAAGCCTCTTTCAAAGCAGTTTCAGTAGTCATTTCCTATCAATAAATAAATTAAGTCAGCTGGACTTTAATTGACCAATCTCAAAGGACATAGTCACACTACAGATGGTGACAAGTATATTTATTGACCTGCTATAAGATTTTTATCGGCTAGTTCTGACAGATTGCCATATTTTATACTGACAAAGTAGTCCAACTGTTGGTCTTTATCATCTTTCGAACATTACGGAATTCAAGTTATTGTGAATAAGTATTTTCTGTTGTTTTGAAACAATAGTCCCATGGTATCTTGAAGGACAAGAAGTATCTTGAAGTGTTCAACTGGTCCAAATTTAATATCAACAACTTTTTATTTTATCTGAAATAAAATTTCGGATAATACATACAGAGTAGGTAACTTTAATTTCCATCATTTGGGTGTCCTTTTGTATTATAACTAAATTATGATGGTATTTGGGCAATGTTATTGTATGCGTCATGATCATGCCTTTAAAGTGATACAATCTCGGACTTGGTCATAATAAAATTAATTCTATAGATTATTCCTATTATTAGGTTTGGCCATATTTATAGTTTTATATTTATTAAATATTATATTCATGCTCATATTATATATTGTCCCAATATAACTATCACTTACTTTAATTTACAAAATTCTTTTGGTATTTTTGCCTTAATTTTTAAATACTCGGATGGGAGTAGGCAGCAGTGTTTTTGGGTTTTGGTAGCAATATGCTATTAATAAAATATTAGCTTGCTAGCCAGTCAGACTTCTGTGAATCATTGTGTTTGTCACTGAAGAGAAAAACATATTTGATGAATTTCAACCATGGGATATTTACTAATTACATTAGATGATATCAAGGACTTGGATCGGTCAATGTTTAATTACTTGAACAAATATTTAGTTCACTGTTCACATTTACGGAATATATTGACTCGAACTGAAATATACCTGTCTTTACATTTATGCGATAAAGATGTTAAACTTTTCATAATGGCTGGGTTGAGGTGGTATTCACATACAAATTATGATACAAGTGATTCACATACAAAGGTGAATCCTGATATGTTATATAACTCATGTGCCCTTCAGCTAGAAGTCTTACTGTAGAAGTGGATATAGACTAATTTGATGATATTTCATAAGACTAGGACCAAAGCAAGAGGTTCTAAACCTTGGTGTTTTCTCTCATTCTAAATGTAAATAAATGCCTATAGGCTGTTCCTTTGTTGCTGATCTTTGTGATGTAGGGAAACAATAGCAGTTCCTTTCAATGGAATCTTTCATCAAGCATTTTTTTTCAGTACTAAATATATTTCTATGTTCCAATTGTTAATCAGTATATCGGTATTGGGTTCTGTTGCAATCTGTCCAGTCTCGATTATTGCTCTCAAGGGATAGCATGATATGTTTCAGTTCATAAAGCAATTGTTCATCATCATCCTAACCCTCTAGTGACTAATTCTATTGGTAATGTAATATTTTGCTTTGAGGGATTGTTCTCATTGCTTCTTATAACAGAAAAATGTTTTGGGTTAAATTTTTGTTGATCTCAGCAATAAAATTTACAAACACAAAATTTCTCTTATCAGTACAACTGTTACAGAAATACAAATTGAATTTCACACTGTGTCCCTAAATTAGTATCTGTGGATTTCTTCGAAAATGAAAAACATGAAAAAGATAATAAAATGTCTTATGAAACTATCAATTTATATAATGTCAGATTTTTTCTCTACTAATCAAGTGCCCTGATCATATGCTTGCATAACTTATATTTTGGTTTATACTGCCAAATATCTCCCGAGACAATATTCCTATGGGATGTCTGGCTTCCTGCTTTAAATTTTTTATGTGTGTGGCTAATGCATGAAGCTTATAATGGAATAGGTTTTGACTGATTGCAATCAATAAATTCTCTTTTAATAAGAGGGAAAAATATTGAACTTGTATAAATTATGAATGTCAGTTTAACATGGAATAATTAATATTATGTAATGAAAATGGAATGTATTTGAATCATTGTAAAATTTCATTGGGAACACTGCATTCCGTAACTGATACTTTTAACAGGTGATTTGTGATATTGGAATTCACGAGCAACGGTTATAATGCATATGTGCAATTGTGATCTCATCTAACTACTTTATGATATATGCTAACAGGCTCATGAGATAGTTGAAAACTCACACTATGTGTTATTCCAAGATATTGTAAATTAATTACCATCCTATTCATTCTTGCCAATATTATACACCAAAAAATATAAAATTACATTATTCCTCAGATTTATTATGATTGTTAAGTAGGCTATCCTGTTTTTATATATTGTCTGATTTACATGGAACCTTTCTTCAAATTAAATTTATGTAATTTTCAGCTTTTATCAATCATCGATATATAAAAATGAATAAAACATAATATATCTACTACTACCATTTTTCTATTATCAGATAAACTGAAACTGACAACTTTTGTGATATTTATTTCAATATCTTGTTTAGTAGTGTGTACGTACATCAGTATGTTTATGACAAATTTTGATATCCAGTCGTTAAAATGGTCTTATGTACTGTAATTAAATTATTTCAGGAAGTTGGTATAAAATTTTCTTCATTGCCCATGAATATTCATGATTTCTATGAATTTATCTTTACTGTCTCTTTCATGAATGTGGCAACGGCCACATCAAGGGGAAAAAACTTCAGTTCAATTCACAATATGTCAAAATGTTGAAAATTCACAAGAAAATTTGTAACAAGTCTAAATTAACATTTTTTTTAGATTGGAGGTATATTCAACACATTGAAGCCACCACTTCAAGAAGGATTTCTCAAAATTCGCAACCCGTGTCTCTACATATTTCCTGGTGGAAATGGCGATTCAGCTTTCTTTGCTGTCAATGGATTCAATATGCTTGTTAACAGTGGTGCTTGTACTAAACCGTGGTTTTGGAAGTTAATTCAGCATGTTGATCGAGTTGATAGTATTCTCGCTACGCATCTCGGATCTGATAATCTTCCTGGATTGAATAGTTTGTTGCTCAGAAAATTACAAGAACGCCAAGTTAAACTTCCTATGGATAACACATCACCTGAATATCAAGTAAGATTATTTATCAATTTATCAAGATGTTAAATGAAATTACCATATACTTTCAGTTTCTTGGGAATTTTCAAAACAAGTTACACAAGAAAAATAATCATCTATTATAAGTTTTTTTTTCTTGCTTTATTATAACAACTGCTTATTTCAGTTTTAAGTTTCAAAATCTAATTTTTCAAATAGCATAACATAACTTTTTATATATTTTTCTCTGTTCTCAGGAACTTCGCCGTTGCCTCATATCTCCTGATTTGGGACAACTTTTTATCAATGCTCCAGCAAAATTCTTGGAAACAATCAGTAAGAGTGGTTCATTAAGTCAATCTCCAAAAGCAAATGGAAAAATGGGTGGAGCATCACCATTACATGATACAGATGAAAATGTTTCAAGTCATCCTGTACAGAAAACTGTTGATATTGTTAAAGATACACTGCGACTAGCAAAGGTAAGAGTTTTTTTTATCAATTTTGAAGATACTAAGGAAATGCCAATATTTATTGAAATTTTATTAAAAACCAATTCCTGAACATTTTTATGTTAATAATAATAGTACTCTGAAAACTTAAATTTCAACCTATAAATTTTTATCGAATATTAGAATCTTGAGTGTCACTGCTCTATAAACGCCATTGGTTCCCTGTGGCTTCCCTTCCCCAGTAAGATTGTGTGCTCAATTTCTTCTCAGTTAATTTTCTGTGCTATTTTATTTACTGACTGGAAATAAACTTGACTATTTACAGGCTCTGCATATGGAAATGGTTCCACTTGTTCGTAAACCAGGTAATCCTGAGCCGATCACCCTTTTTTCAAAAGTCGGTCTTGGTCGATTGGAAATGTATGTTATCAGTCCCGCAGAAAACAGCAAAGAACTTGCTTATGTTAATGAGAAATGGGGTTGCAATGGAAAAACAACAACTCCAACTGGCAAAACAGGAGTAAGTTTAATTTATATACATTGTATCAAAATTTCAGATCAGCCTTTGTGTGAAATGGATATTCATTCATGTTACGTTTGGTATGGGCACATAATGGAACAAGGTCTTTGTGGGCTGTGGCCATCACTCATCAAAACATTAACCCAATTCCAATATTCGATCTATTATAGATATACAAAAAAATTTTGGAAATGTGTATTTGCTGTAGAAACAGAATAAGAGAAATAAATGGTCATGATGGCAACAGTTACCAACAATTTGATATTCAGCTTATAATTATTTTTTTCAGGTGCTTAACGGTACTGGAGGTGAAGGAGACTCATCCGTGACCAATCTATCATCGATATGTTGTTTGTTAGTGTGGCATCCTTATAATCCTAATGAAAAAATTGTCAGAGTTCTTTTTCCTGGAAACGCTAGTCAGGTATATTCCTAGGATTGATTTCCTCTGGTTTGTTGCCGGTGTGTATTATCATGTCAACTGATAAGACTTGTTATTTAAACTTTATAAAATCAAAACCGGTATGCAATACCTCCCTTTGTTTCTGTGTTTTCAAATATTTATTTAAAGCTATCAATTTATCATTTATGTAGAATATCATAGCCAGTATATGTCACTTATCAAAAATTAGGTACCTTTAGCTGTGAAGTTTACATATAAATTATTGTCATTTAAAATATCACCTAACAAAGTACTGAATTTACTCTGTGACTTCAAGAACCATATTTATTTCAATGTTGAAAATATGAAGATTTTATTGTTGTAACAATTTATTTTTTTCAAATAGACCAAGATATTTGAAGGTCTTGAAACAATGAAGAATCTACCGTTTTTGAAGACACAGTTTGCTACAAAAAATTCATTGAATAAACAGAAAGGTGAGGAAATAATGAAACCAAATACTTTGTTGTATCCACCGTGACAAAGTAAGGAAAAAAAAATTCTTCTTTTATTCCAGCACCTGCAAAATCAAATGGAACACATACTAATACACAAAGAGCGACCAGTGCTACTAGTGCAATGAAAAAGCCTGCTCCTGCTCCTAAAAAAGTTACGCCACCTGTCAAAAAAGAAGCAGTTTCTAATAAAGTTGCTGAAAAGAAAGCAAGACCTGAAAGACCGACAACAACAAGAACAAAACCTGCACCTGCTGCTTCAAAAGCATCTACAACTGCTTCAAAAACTACCACAGTCAGAGATAAAGTTCCCACAAAAACACTGAAGATTGATTCTACTGCTGCTTCATCCAGTAAACCTTCCTCTGCAACTAGCGTTAAAAAAGGCACAACATCTCGCGCTGGAGCTTCTACTGTTCAGTCTAAATCTGATTCCAAGCGCCCAACTTCATCAACTGCTGCAACTTCAAGATCTGCTACAAGTAGCAAGACTAAATCTCAACCAACGACCCAGAAAACACAAGAAAAGCCCAAAAAGTCGCAAACTTTGACACCATCAAAACAAAAAGTTGATAGTCAAAAATCATCTGCGAGAAGCACTCCGAAAAAATTGTCTAAACCGGCACCTACAGCGGCTAAGAAAGGCATCGCAAAGGGTAGCGCTGAAAAACCACAGAAACCTGAAAAGCTAGCTACCAAGAAAGTTGCTGTCACACCACCAGAAGATCTAACACCAGAATTTTCAAATATACAAACTGGTGATGCAATTCCACCTACAGCAAAACCAGCAGAATTACTGAGCACTGGTAGTGAGGAACCAACGAGTAGTGTTCTGTCGGGACGGCACTCACCGGAAGGGGAAGATGGATCAACAGTACAATATGCAGAATCTCCAACAGTTCAACAAAATGGAGAAGAAAAGGAAAAAGCTGAAATTGGAAATGAAAATGTTATTATTCATCCTCCAACTCAAGAACAAGAAGACACTGGTTTTGTCATCATGAATAAGCCTGAAATCTCGGAAGAGAGTGATTTTATCTCAGATAACGGAAGTTTAGCTGGAGCTCATGCAACCGCAAAAACCATTACGGATGAAAATCTGTTACAAGCGAATAATGATGATCTCATTTCTTCTGATAAATCAACTACACCTGAAGATCCTGTAGTGGAACATGAAAAAGCGATCGCCTTCGTAGATCCTGGTGAGGGAGCTGATGCTTCACATAAACCAGTGATAAGAACACCAACACCTTTTCATTCTTTGCAAGAGTCATCTGGAGAGACCAATGAAAATTCACCAATATCTGAATCTGAAGGTGTGTATTTTCACATTCTGTTCAGTAACATAAGAAATTAGTATTTATCATAGTGACTACTGACTTTCTGGTCGGGTTAATATTTTTTAGCTCGGTCCTACATAATTATTGTATGACAATTCATATACACGTAAAACAATTAGAATGTGTGGCAATTCTGTTCTCTTCATTTGTTGCAACTTACAATAGTGGTTCTAAATACAGATATTTTAAAGCGGTTTTAACTGTTAACAACATTTCAATATGACGATTTTGTCATTGAATCACTTCCTTATTGGTGTATGATTCGTTAGCCACACAATTCTGCATGTTTCGTAACGTAAAAAGTAGCCATTTCGCATAGGAAACCTTTTCTAATACAATCCACAGAACTGATGATGACTTTTCCTAATGTTTTATTTATTTTTTGACATCAATTCAAATTTCTTTTATCAGGCACTGCTGGTGGAGAAGTTGATATCAAGAAAGATTCCGCATTAGAAGAAGAAGTAGATCATCAGGATGAAGCAGTTATACAATGGTCAGATGGAAATTTACAGATCGAGGAAGATGATTCTCCTTTGGACACGGCCGATGAAAAAGAGGATTCAAACGAGAAGGAATCACCAGAAGGTCAGGATGATATTGCACAAAGTGAAACTGCTATTCCTGCTACTACTGAGAATGTCAATGCATTGGATCCTGCAAAAGATGTTGGGAGGTATGTTTTACATTTTTACCGAGTTGGACTTAGTAATGAGAAGGAAATGAAAAAATGTTGGAATTGATTTCAAATTGATTATTTTTATATGACATTTATTCATGTCTGTCATTTTGAGCAATTGGTGTTTCACAATATAACAAAAGAGCTTTCATTTAATTTGAGAAACCTGTAAAAATATGGAAACAACCAAATATTTTTTTATCCTATCTTTCCTATATTTCCAAACATCTTGAATATACATTGCCTCTTATGTGTTTGTGATTTTATTGTGCTTGGCCTTATTCATTTTTCCATTATCGAAAAAATTTAATTTTCAAATTTATTCGGAATAGTAGTTTATTCTGTTTTTGACATCCTGATTATTGATATTCTCGAATAATAGTATGCTTCCATTGAATATTACGAAATCCTACATTCAACTAGTAATTTGTGTTTTATCTGAAAGAGTCTCATTCCCTGTCTATCAGGGTAATTTGACCTGTCATGTTGACAGTTTTATTAGGGAGTGTTCAGTACATTATATAGCAAATACAGCTAATGGAAGATGTAGTGGGCAAGTAAGTGGAGCAATAAAAGTAAAAGCATGAAACCTGTATTTGCTTTTAGAGGATAAAAAAATGAAATGGAATTGTTTTTTTGTACTCTTCAAACATGATTTTATACGTTATAATAGTCTGTAATATGAATATTTTATTTTTCGCAGTGAAGTTCATTCGTCATTCAATTCGTCATTAGAAGGTTCATACGAGCTTTATCACACTGGTCGCTCTCCACCACCACCAAGTGACAGACAGGAAACTATTGCAGAAACCATTTCTGATTTCAAAGATGATGGAAATTTTCAAACTAAGGTATTCGCGGAATGAATGTTGGATTCACAAAGCTAAGAATACAAAAATATTTAGTTAGCAGTCCTAATAAAAATGGCCCTGGTAAAGTGGTAATAGAACGTTTTAATCCATCAGATATAAGATTAGAACACCCAGGAATGTTTCAAAATCAATTATTCGAATGCATTCGAAATAGGTAGTATTAGAAATTGCGCATTCTCGATTACGAAATTTTTTAGATTTATTTTATCTCTAAATTTCGTTTGGAAAACATAATTCAGTTCAATCTCCTCTGCCATGTCATATATTCAATATTCCATATTAAAAAAATATTTTTATAGAATATAATGTAAACATTATTAATAATCTGTTTGGTTCACCCAATATTCCTTTCCTTGATTTGGTGGCTATATTTGTGCCTATACATGAGTTTGTAAACATTTGTTCTCACAGAACTTTCTACCATACATAATGTGAATTTGTGGGTGAAAATGTCTTGTAGATTTAATACATTTTTTTCATCCAGGATTTCGAAGATCAAAGTGCATGCTTGGACACTCAGCCACAACAGACTGACCTGCTCGAAGATCCTACAATGTCAATGGAAGCTCCTGATCTTCGGTTCAGCATGAGTACAACATCCACAGGATCTCAGTTTGCAAGAATGGATCCACCATTTTCGTCAAGTGATGCTGGCCCAGCGGTTGCCGACGAACCAGCTCCTGTAACACAGCAGCAGTTAGAACCAGGTATGCCTATGTGATTAAAGAAGATAAATAACAAGACTAATATATCTTATGGAATAATTTTTCTTTTTATCACCCTTTTTTCATATATGTGGAAATTACCAAATATTCAGTCAATATTCATGGCGTGTACCAAGATATTTATAACTTAAATATATAATGGGAATCGTTCAATATACCGTAGATAAGTCTATTTTATTATTATTTATTTCTATTTTATTATCTATTTCAGCATTGTTTCATCTTATATAATGGATGAAACAATGCTGAAATAGACTTGTGTTCGATGCTGCGAGAATGTGTTTTTCATCTTTAATCTTGCTGCAGAATTATTGCCTTATGCACAAGCACATACAGATCCACCGGCATGAAGTCATATATTAAAGGTAGTTATCCCCAACCCAAGCTTATTACATTAGTATAATCTATGATTAAATTCGTTCGTAGCTCCTGGGATTTCCCCAAAGTTGATGATGACTTCTCCTCGAACAGAAGATGATATTTCATCATTATGTGGTGTGGGTGCAGATGTTTCCACTGATGCTACCATACCCAACTCAAATCTACTAATATCTTCTTCTGCTCAGCAAATTTTTGGTAGTGTTATGTGTAATATCGCATGTTGTCAGTCTGTCTGTATTATGTGATTCAGAGAAATTTTATACAAGAAGGCTGTTATTTTGTCATCAAATGGTTTTTCTTCAATAGCAGTGACATAGGGAAGTCCAAAGAATTTAAAGGTCAAACTTTAGAAATCAATGCTAATAATCAAACTACTTTTTTGTTCTGAGGAAGACTCGAAATTTATTGAATATTCAATCAATTTTGATAAATTTCTGAAACTTGAACCAATCATCGTCATAGGATGATACAATTAGAAGTGTGGTATTCATTCTGTGTAATTCATTCAATATACTGGGCAATAATACTCAAATTGCCCCAACCATGACTAAATGGATACCAGGAAATTCTTTATTTTAATATCACATTTGGACAATTATATAGAAAATGTCATGGCAATGGCATATTTGTGTCTGCGCATAGAAATGGAATCTTCTAAATTGTTGTTTTCTGCATAATCCACTTGTCATGTGCTAATGACGTATTGCAAAAGTCATGTTTTGAATAATTTATTTGCGGATGTCTCGTGTCTTGGCTTTTATATTTGTGTTACTTTCTCGCTTTCTCTCTGTTATTGCACCTGGCTTTGTGACATCGGGCATAATTAGATGAAACATTACAACTTTTTTGTTCGTTCTGCCAATTTCTTTATTGCTTGCCGTCTTGTGACCTAGCTTATCTGTATAGTGTATTATATTTTTTAGCAACAATCGATTTTGACTTAAACCTTACGGTCATAACATTATAATCTCTCAATTCTGCAATTGAAGTTAGGGTTCAAATAACGAACATATGTGAATATATCCCTTACATACAAAGATTTTTTCTCTTTGAACTCATTTCAGTTGAACCAGAATCTAATCAGAGTAGATTTGCTGAAGATGACGACAATTGTGTCGAGAAAATTGACATTGAAGATTTTCCAGCTCAGTCTAATATTGAGAAGGATGAGGGAGATCTGAGTGAAGAAAACCAGATTACTGAGGAGGCCGATAATCAAGAGGACGAAGAAATGATTGCTGATGCTCCAAATAAAGAAGTAATTGGTGGAGCACATGAAGAAGAAACTGATCCAAAGACTTTTGATGAAAATCAACTTGAAGCATCAGGTACACTTGATATTGATCAAGTTTAATAAAAGTATCACAAGTGGATTTTAAATCTACTTGTACAAATTATCAGCGATTTGAATTTTTGTTAATAAGGATTTTATATTATATAATATTATTTACATTATATAATTTCATTTATATTAATTATATTATTTTTGAATTATATCAAGACTAAATTTCATTGATACTATGTTCCTCAAAATAGTAGTGACTGTTTAAAATGTTACAATTGTGAATTGAAGCATCAGGTACACTTGATATTGATCAAATTGAAGGGAAGTATCACAAGTGGATTTAAATTAACATTTTAAACAGTCCTTACTATTTTGATGAACATAGTATCAATGAAATTTGGAATTGATATATTTCAAATATAATTAATATAAATAAAATTAAATAATGTAATTCATATTATATAATATTAAATTCTTATTAACAAAAATTCAAATCGCTGATAATTTTTATGATTAATGAATGGATGTCAAATATTTCAGCAATGAAAACTTATCACAGAAGTTTAAATGAAGAAATTCAATGGCCCATCTGCTCCTGGGATTTTATCACAAACTTTTATCATTAACATTCCTCTTTTCATGAATCATTTTAAAATATAAATACCGGTTCTTTTTTTTATTATACATTACATTAAATATTTACAAAAAAGGTCTCATCCGGAGACCTGATGAAATTTTCGTATATGATGAGGACCGACAAGAACAACGCCAGGAAGAAATTGGATATCTTCATTCCAATCAAAATGAAGATAAAGCAGATTGGACAGGAGAGGGAGTAGAGGGCTACGATATTCAAGAAACTGGAGGCAATGATGAAATGAAAGTTGCAGGTACTGTACTACAGAAGTTCTCTTATTGGTAATTTCAATTGTTAAATTGTTGGAGTTTAAAGTCAGGAGTTTAGTCCCATGCTCTACAGCCATGGTTGCTATCTAGATTCTAGACAAAATCTTCCATACTCAGTATAAAAAATCTGTCCAGATGCTGTCCAACCTGGCACAGATGTTGATTTCAAAGAAGATGTTCAGGCTCATTTGAAAGATATTGACAATCAGGATCGAGCAGAGGAAGTGGCAACTGTACAAGAAAGCCAAGGAGATCGACCCAATATGTTGTCTGCAGAAGCTGATGGTATGATTCAGAACATTTTTTTATCAAAGTTAAGAGTGTAGTTGCAACGATGAACACATAGCAATGGATTCCGTATTTTGTGTTGGAGTCAAGTTATCTCAATGAAATGATTAGGACTTTCACTGATTGACTTTTACTGGCCTGTTGATTGCCTCTATTTGATACTCTTGGCTCGACTTTACTCGCGACCCGAGAATAAATGACCAAAATCCAACAATGATTTCGAATCTTAATCTAATTTAGTAAATGCAAAGTTAAATATCTAATTTGTTAACACAACAAGATATATGAACATATGTATTCTGGTATGTTGATATCACAGGCTCTCTGGCTTCATCGGCACAAGATCAAGGTGAGCAATATTATGATGAATATTCGGAGGAAACTTCACTCACTGAAACAGGAGAAACACCTGATGTTGAACAATCGCCAGGTAGGTCTTGTTTGTTATGAATTATAGTAAATTTAAGCTTAGTCTAATCTATAGAAAACCTTAGCTTTCGGATAGATTTATATGTATTTTGATAGGAAAAGTAAGTTTATAAGACAAGTATATGTTGAATATGATATCTCAACTCTCACCAGTCGAGATAAGATATCCCAGATGCATGGATTTGGTTGTGAGTAAAAACTGAAAATCATTCACTGGTATCCAATGATAGAACGAGCTACTATTTTTGAAAGGACTGGAATCTCTTGTTGCGGCATTGCTTACCCAGTTTATTACACCCTGGGTGAGGTTGTGTCCATGGGATTTGGACCTGAGATGTGTAAACTGCGCTGACAACATAGTTGAGTCTAACTTTGTAACCAGGCCGCCATGAACCCACTTGTATATTGTCTGCATGCATCATTTGAAATGTTGTCGATAATAGGGCAATTCATAAATAAGAAACCAATTTTGTATGTTTTTATTTCTAGTTGATTTCAAGTATGATGGTCCAAATATACAAGATTATGAAAAAGTTGAAGGAGATGTTATTTCCAAATCTGATCTTTCTTTGTCTTCTCCTGAAGAAAACTTTCCTCTTCATGGAGGTAAGAACTTTAGTTGGTTGATTTTTCAATTTATCATTTTGTTGACTTTTAAAATAGTTTACAAAGATAAGACAAATTTTACAGTTAGTACTAGTAGGAAAGTTTCAATTTTTCACAAAATATAGCACCTATACTTATGCAAGTGTTTTATGACATAACTGCTAAAAGTTTTAATTATTCTGTCTTGGTCTGTGATTTATCCCCTTCCTCTTATTTTATTATCCTACATAATCTTGAAAACTGTGTTCTATTTTTTGATATGTATCTATGAAGTATTTGTTATGAGATTCATTATTTATATTTTCAGGCACATCTCCCGACCAAGATTTATTTGGCTTGAATGGGAACGTTGAGGTATGTGAACTTATAGTTTTGTCTTTTTTACGTCGTTTCACTTAGTTGTGTTTCATGCCGAATTATTGGATCTTTTTAAAAATACTGGTAATTCTATCTTGTTCTTATTTTTTTTTTAACCACTGTGTGTTCTTTGTTCTGTTTAATTAGATACAGACTAAGGATACTGAGGAAAAAGAAGATCAAGATTTATTGATGGGAACAGGACAAGACCAAGATGAACAGCAAGTGACGCCAATTCCTCGATATCATCCTGCTTATATTGACCCGATTGCTCCTCTAGCAGGTACATTTACAATCTGTCACTATAATGTCAGGGAAAACATGAGCTTATGGCACCCACCAATTTAAAAAAAATATTACCGGTAGGTGACTTGTATTTATTGGCAGCCGAATAGCTAATTCTCATCAGTGGCGCAGCCAGGAATTTTCAAACGGGAGGTTCTGAAATTTCTAATTGCCAAGTTAGAACGAAACAGCTAGCAGGTCCAACCGGAGGCTTGAGGGGTTTTTCACGCTAAATGTATTTTTCCAGTTAAGAAGTTCACCCATTCACATTTGTGGTATTTCCAGATCCCGAAGAAATTCAATCTGACCAGCCAGCAGAACTTGGTTCGCCACTTGATGCTAACGCTAAACCATTTGTCCCAAAGAGTTCTGTGCCCATTGACCAGTCACCTACTTGCGCATCAGAAGCTCAATTTGGCCATGCTGATGATTTTGGAACAGGCAAGCAAAGTTTTGGTTTTGTATGTTAGTAAATTGATTGTGAAGAGAGATTTTTAGGCTGTGTCAACTGATGAGATAATAGTTGAGGATTCTGGAAAGGTTTACATCCGATTGTGACCCAAAACTTTAAGTCATTTGAAGAATGACCTTTTTACTTGGCTGACAAATATTTTGCTTCCAACTACCAACGCCCTTCATACATACAATAGCTACCAAATTTTCCCAGAAAATTCAAGCACTATAACTTCAGTGTATACATAGTTGATGTTGACTATGCATAGTCAATTTTAGTCTTTTTAGTTATTGTTACGAATTTAGACTTTGATCATCACCAATAGAGTTTTCAACATCTGACTTCAATATAAGCATGTCATACTCCCCAACTCGATATTAATCTTATAGTTATGTCTGAATGTTGGACAATGCCTCTGTCATTAAATGCCAAATTGTGATTTTTTGCAACTGAATCTAAATGTTTTTGATGTGTGTATGCATGATTTTACTTTCTTCAAAATTATATTTTCAACATACTATATATGTTTTATTCGCAGCTGAAGGATTTAATGCGGCATCTCGCGTGATTTTACTTTCTTCAAAATTATATTTTCAACATACTATATATGTTTTATTCGCAGCTGAAGGATTTAATGCGGCATCTCCAACTTTATCTGCAGGAATGGCCAACAATAATCCATTCTTGGTCGATATGATGCAAAGTAATCAGCCAGATCCATTTTCAGCAGAGGTAGATATTTTTTATTCATATTTATTCATTTGAGTCGATGAAAATACGCTTGTCCCCAATCAAGCAAACCACCATTTTAAATGGATGATTAGTTTTATTCAATTATTACTGAATAAAAAAAAAATATAATCAGCATAATTCAAAAATTATTTCTATGACTAACGCATATATGTGTTAATATAGCAATCTGTGAAAAAAATTCATTGTTTATTAAGTGGAGATAATCGTTCCCCCATGATGTATCTCATGCATTGTAAACTCTTCATATGTTTACTCATGTCACATCTCATCAATGAATATAAATATATTTACTTTAGGTGCCGTGCTTGCCACCAGTGAGAGGACCAGATCCATGTGCTGCACAAGATAATAAAAATACAAAAGTTCACCCACGAAAAGCTAATCCAGGTTTGTAAGGAGAATAGATATTTGTATCACAACCCCAGAAGCCAAATAGTACAGTCATCTGACAAAAGTTGGAAGGAGGATATAGGACATGTAGTGAACAAATCATATCATATGCTAATGTATAATCTCACAAATGAAATTGTGAAAAGGTCCCATTCATGTCTTAAGTAATTAACTTTGTGATTAGTCTAATTATTGGACATGAAGTGTTGGCTACATATAGATCTTTTGTCAATTGTTATAAACTACTGAACAAATCATTTGCAAATTTTCAGTGTTTGAAAATATCGCTAGAGGGCTAGCCCTGTTATTTATTTTACATATTCAAGGTCTATTTGCCCGATATTCCATCGAATCTTGTTGTATTTTAATTGGTGAGAACACAGTTTTGTCATTTGACCTTTATTTTCATATTATAGAGCATTGCTTTTTCGTTCTGTTTTTTTCACGATATTTTTTGCGCAGGTACTCAAGCGAAGAAACCAGCATCTGGATTCTCACCTATTCATGTTGATTTAACGTATGTTCCCAATCATGCAAATAAAAACAGTGTTGGAATTGATTTCTTCAAAAAGATAAGATCAAAGTATGTATTTTATTCTAAATGTCTAAATTTTATGAAAAGCGAATATTACTAAATGTCAGTATTATGAATATCTTACAATTCTAACAATTCTCCATATTTTGATGTGGCTTGAGTAGGATAAGTTAGGGATTTTCATCTTTATCCCATGGGAGAGTAATAGTGATAAGATGGCTTAATGATCATTTGGCGTGCCACCGCATTGACCTATGGTGAAGGAAGCCATGACCAACCAGAAGTTATGTGAACTCTTTGACGGTAAGGAGTCTGGCAATTCTCTTGTACATAATTATCCCCCATGGATATATTTCATTTATCCTTCGATAAAAGTCTCCTATTGCTGTATAGTTTGGGTATGAGGATATTTTGTGGTTTCACATGAATGTTTAAAGCATCAGAACACTCTTAAAATTATTAAGCCACTTTTTGACAATGTTGAGTCAAGCAATTCTCTCATTCACGGTCTCTCCAAAATCGACCCCCTGTCTCTATAGTAAAAATTAGGATAACAATGGGAGTATTTTTGAAAATGGATGTAACAGATGTGTGGTTTAAATCAATTAAAATTTTAATTTATATTTTATCAGGTACTATGTAGTCAGTGGTAATGATCAAACAAAAGATGAACCAAGTACTGAAGTTTTGAATCATCTTCTAGAAGGAAAGAAATCTTGGTTAAATGATGGTGCTTCTCATTCCACTGATTCCGATGACATAAATGTTACTGTTATTCCAACCCATGATACAACTGCAGTTAGAGAATGGTAAATAGTTTTTCAATCTTTGTGATATAGCAATGTACTGAAGTTGAAGTTCCATGTTCTGACTATATTAGGTTTGTTAGACGATTTTTGGAAATTCATTAATGAAAGTTCATCAAATTTTCCTAGCTCTTCTGAACCCTGAATTATAAGAAATATTATTTGATATATGAAACAATATTAACTTGTACTTTCGTGATATATATACATTTTAGAGTTCTCTATATAATTATTACCTTTAGGATATTTACGAATGGATTTTTGGTTTGAGGTTTTCTAAATTTGAGACTGCAGTTTGAAGTTGAGGCTTTTCAATGTGTTATTATGTTTCAAAGATGTTCAAATAATTAGTCATAATCTCCATTTTATCAGGTACAAACAAAATTTTAAAGAGTTGGAATCATGCAACATTCATATGGTAGCAAGTGGAAGTAAAGTACTTGTACAAGTTGAAAGCATTGAAGCTTGCAAAATTGAGTTCTGAAGAGAAGATTATGGTAACATAAATGATTGTTTGTTTTAATGATATTTAAGTTATATAACAAATTCTAAAATTAATTTTTCTTTAAGTTGAGTACAAATGACAAAGAATAGATATACAAAATGTAAGAGTATTAGTTCTCTTTCACCATTGAAATTTATTTTTAAAAATTGGTGATGATGTAATTTGTACCATAAAGCCTTGATTTACAATAATTCTTGGTAATTAATTATCTTATCATATGGTTACTTACAGTATGCTACTCAAATAAGCATTCGACGAGTGCTTTGTTAATGAATAATTTCTTTGAACTAAATTTTCATATTTATCCCAACTTACAGATTCTGATATGAACAAATTCTCCTTCATAAAGGAGTTCACATGTAAATACCAGCACAATATATGTCTACCATGATGACGCTTAACATTCAACTTCTCTTTCGTGATTGTATGTAAAATATAGCGTTAGATCTTGAATGGTTCAATCATGTTATTTTCAAAAATTTCGTCAACATGATATCACATCGGCATCAACTTTAAATCAAAATGTCAACTTTGACCCTATCTTACAGTACATGTGTTATTTTCATTTGGTGAATATTTAATTGTCGCATTCAACAGTGTTTTACTTGACAATTCTTTAGAAGTACTACGCTTCCATTTGGTGCACGCTTTCTATTTCTTATATACTTTTCATTTGCTCGCTGCTTGAATTTATCATCATTTTTTTGTCACATTTTCTCTGTATATTATGATCATTTGCAGTAAAAACAACTAACTAGTGTTAACTTGTTACCTACCTATACAGTTCTGACAGTTTTTCATGAATTGCAATAATGAGAAAATGAGTATAATATTTGATGACTATAAATAACAACAAGGGCATAATTATAAATTTAGTTGTAGATATCACCCACTGAACATCTTTTTTTTTGCTTTACATGGAAATATGGCTCAGCCTCTAATCATATAATACGTATCTGCAGTATTTCTATATTGCTCTGCATAAAATGCTGTGCTGCAATAGAACTCTGAAATTGTTTATTTATTTTCAATAAAATGTAATTCCAAACAAACCATGTCATTATATTTCATTTTCATATTTTTCCTCCAGAAATGTATTTCACCTTTATTCACTGTGCATGCGTTTTTTTTTATTTTGTCATGTCAAGTTCCAACTGTTTCTTGTTGTTTTGTTCTACAGTGCGGTATTTCTTCAAAATTCCAAATCTATGTGAAATTTTTTAAAGTTCACTTTAATTTACTGAACTCTTCATTTTATTTATTGATGAACATACAATATACGTAGGGTGGGTGATTCGCTTTCTTGAGAACTTTTTATGGCATGCAGTCACCACTGGTGGACAGATTTCCTTGATGAAGTTTTTCATTCTTTTCTACATATAAACGTCCCTAAACTAAAATAAGAAGTAATGTAACAAGTTAACAACGGAATCTTTTTTATAAGAATTCTCAAATAACTTGTAAATTGCTGTAATACATGAAACCCCTGTGATTGTTGAATTGTGTACTTAGGTAGACTTGCTAATAGTAAAATTGTATGTCCTGTTAAACAGACTTAGAATAATTGATGTATTGCATGAATTCATCCACTTTGAAAATCATTATAGAGCTACACAGCATTGTAGCTAATTGTAACGTATTTATATGAATCTTGAATTGTCGTTCGTTGATTTCAACTTGATTTATTGTACAGCATTCGTTTAGCAAATTTCTTGAATTGGTGTTGGTAAGCTTTATAAGGTTTGAGTAGGTTTAATAATAAAATGCCTGGTTTTGAGAATTGTATTATGATTTAAGGAGAGAAGATGGCTTGGTGTATTTGTATTTATCTTTTGAACTGTGTATATTTCATTTTTTAAATGAGTTATGTATGAGCGTAATTGTATCATTACTAAATGGATCAATCAAATATATGCTTTAATGAAAAATGATCAACAGAAAAGGAAGAAGCTACGCTCAATTGTATGTAATCAACTAACATCATGATGCTGATAGTGAAACGAAATTCTACGTAATATTTATGAAAGTATCATTTTGAATGGTCCTAAACTAGTATAATATCATTTAAACTAACGCTGAAGGATTCGAGTGACATTGAATGAACGAACAATCGAAGCGAACAATCCTGTATATAGCATAGTAATATGTAGTTATGTGTACTATATGCATGAGCTTAAACGCGAATGAAATGTGTTTTATTTTTATTATGGCTCCAATGTTACTTTTATATATCTTCAATGCTCAACTGTCAACTTGGTTATTGTTTATGTTGTAACCTATGTAGGATTTCAAATCCATTGCTGTCTTATGATATACATTAGTCATTGTACTTTGGTACAAAATAGATATCAGCAACCCCCTCAGCAACAGCAATATAAATACAATTGCCATTATACAATTTTTCTATCTCTCCATAGCATTGACCAGAATTGTACTAGCATACATTATCTGCATTGTAGTTGATCATCTATTAATTTTTTTGCTTGTGCATGATTTTTAATTTGATAAACACGCCTCACCAGCTAACGACGCCACCTTGATTCTGCTGCGTGTATAATAAAAAAAAATTAATTATATTTGTCTGATAGTATTTTATACACAATATGTGTCTGTTAGACAGTTAAAAAAAAAAACTGAAAACATACCATTTTTCTGAGTTTGAAACCGCTATCCACAAAATATATTTGAGCCTTGCAGCATACACTGGGCCTGCAGTACTATTTATAAAAGAAAATGCTGAAGGAAGGCCAGGAGTCTTTAAATAGAAGAGTGAAGAATACTGACAGAAGATTCTTCCATTGTGCGTTTGTCCTTGTGACTGAGATGACAATGGTTGGATTCCCTCAAAGCTACCATTAGGAAAGAAATGACGCAAAGTCGGTCTATTAAAAAAGATTTGCGCACACGAAAGATTTATTTTCAAACTTCGGTTTTCTGGGAGTCTGCTTGAAAATTTTTACTAGCTCAAGTTGAAGCCAAGATATTTCCAACCCGAGGTCTGGGTCGATAGTAAATATTCTCCAACATTACAGCCATGCATCGGGGTATTAGGTTGTATTAAGTTCGAATTTATGCCACACATAGTACTCACGCATAAATTAGTACCAAAGCTAACAGCGTTTTACTACTATTGTATCGGTGTCTCGAGAATGTCGTTTCCCACTTGCTCCACGTGTCCTACTTGTCCCAAAGTTGTGAGAATCGGCGTATAGGCTGATTAAACTATTGTAATTACTATTTATAAAAAAAAATTGCTAATTCAAAATGTTTGAATGTGGATACCTATATTAGTGTGATACCGATACCGCTTTCATCGCCAATACCGATCCACTATCGACACGCCGATATTGATATACGGATAATATTTAATTATCATTTTGATTGTAAGGGACAGACAGGATAAAATAGTTGTCGGATAACTATATTTACGGTGATTATCATTTCAGCTTGACGAACGGGTATTCCAGAATATAGGAATTTGATATATATTTGAATTTTCAAATGCATAAATGACGTGTCAGCAGAATAAATGCATACAGTTTAAACTACTTGATTGCTTTGCAACCTAGTACTATGCAAAGTCGCGCCTCAACGCCCGTTTAATAAAAACAAATTGTGATAGTTTAAGCAGAACTTTTGTAGCGCACATGCGAAAGGAAGCGCTATGTTTGATCTGCGTAATCTATAAAATTGTAGCCAGGTAATAACTTTGGTAATAACTTAAAGTTAAAAACAGTACGAAGTTTAAAATTGCAATAAAACGTCATGGTAGCAGAAAACATGACGTTATAATACCAGTTTCAAGTCGCGAGGGTGGGAAGCGGGCGTAACTCAATTGCCAGTGTGGAATGTGAAATGTAACTATGATTTATTGCGTTAAGCATTCCTTGACTGCGTCTGCGTGTGCTGGCATGTGATATTTCTCATGTTATAAACTTATTTAAAGGTTTAATCCGCTCTCCCGAATTTTCATTCTAATTGGTGTATATTATGGAGTTTTCAAAATAAACACGATATGTCTGAAGGTATTGAGTTGCCTCGTTGCTGATAATTCTAAAACTTGTGTTCAGTAAAAAGGCACGAATTACAAGTCAAATATTAAAGCTCTGAGTGAGGGAAAGCAAAGACAGAAATTTTACTAAAATAAAATGGTATTTTGAATATTTTTGTGCAGCCTGATTTTTGTACATTTAAACGAATTACTAGGTAGTGCAAACGATCCAAGCAATTTTACGCCAAGCTGCATTGTCCTCAGGCAGTGCTGGATTAAACATTAAGCAAGATGAAGCACGTGATTATGGCACTAGGAAAATTGGGGCATCCCAGAAATTCTCATAGACGATTATTTTTCAATGTTGAATCAGTGTTTAATAAAACAATTCGAGTTAGTCAGACGACACAAACTTCAGTATTGGCCCGGTTGTAACACAATTCCCAAGTATCATCTTAAATCTCTCTATAAATGTTTGTAACGATAAAAATTGTTCCAAAAAAAACAAACATGTAAATTAATCGTAACTTGGCCCTGAATTAGTAATGAATACAGAAACTTACATATTCTATTACAGAAATCCAATCCAAACCCAATTGTTGCGCCATTGGTGACCTATTGTTGATTGGTCATTGCTATGGAAGTAAACAAGGAAATAGATGCTCGGGGAAACGTACGTCAACATCACTTTGGTTATTCAAATGCAAATTCCGATTTGTGAAGTGCAGATCAAGCGAGGTGCAAAATATTTTCACGTTTGCAGTCGACGTTCCGGCATTTGAGAAATGCCCGCATTTACATCTAGATATGATTTATGTTGAAATAAAAGGCTTTTTCTTTCGTATATACAAATTATGTAACAATTCAATAGTGTTTGCATCATACAATCTATTTAAAGGATTAATGATAGGCAAAGTAGAAAATCAGACATTGCATTGATTTCACCTGTTTTGGGAGTATTTTCATGACGTTCAAAGAACGGCCAACCAAAATCGATCGTGACAGAATCCCCAAATCTATACCCAATAATGAAGCCATAGCATATGTTACAAATCGGAACTGTTTTTGTCACAATGCTATGCAATTAGCCTGATATTGATTTTTCACATTAATTAGTTCGTTGTCACCATTCACACAACGTCACGCAATTGATTTTTTAATTTAGTGATTGAAAACAAGTAGAAGAGACAGCATCCGTTATGAAATACCAGGGATACGGTACAAAGTGGCCGTGTAATTACAGTCAGATAGAAGTGATAGCTGAATATTTGTAGTGTAAATGTTTTTGATTCTTGGTATCCAACCTGTAGAGAATATAGATATAATGCTTTCATCATTTCAACTTTGCCGTGGTTTAGTAAGATTTAACAACTGTAGAGCCAAAGTTATATAGAATATTCATTTCTCAACAGGTTCATAATAGTATTAATCTCTCAAGATTCTGACTAATTGTTTTGAATGCGTATAATTCAGGATACTCGGTATGGAAAAAACATTTATGGGCATTCAGGTGGTCCAAGCCTAGAATGGGCAATCGTCAAGCTGTGCTTTCACCCGAAAAACTAGAACAATATCAGGTATTTATATTCAGAATACTTTTCTCTGATAAGATTATATTCGACTTCTAACAATGACTGTGAAACTGACAAAACTATTTGATGACGGTTGACAGTAATTATAAACTATTCAGTAACTTTCATATTTAACCGCGAGAAACAGCATATACAATTCCTATATATATTAACTTTTAACCAACGATTCTTTATTCACTATATTTTTGTTTGCATTCAAAATGTTGAGTAATCTACCCCGCGTAACTTTATTTTTGACTACTAGTTGTTTCTTTTTGAAACTTTCCTTCAATATTTTCCTTAGCACCTTCGGGTCTAATTAGCAGAAGGATAAAATCATGAGGGGTTTAATATTGTAATTGCATGCAATGGGGAAAAAATAGAATCTTGCTAGGGCTGAAATGATTGCAAACTTCGATTAAAACATTTGGGTAAATAACATGGAATTGTACTTAATTAGTTCGAAAAGTACGGAATGTGTAAATCACTACTTTATTGTTGTGAAAATCAAACTTTCACGCATAAGTTAACTCGATGCACGTAAATATTATTTCAGCTTATAAAAACCGAAAATTGTATTTCATTTTTCAGGACTGTACGTATTTTTCGAAAACTGAAATAGTTAGGTAAGTTCAAAATGTTTTACATCGTGTTCATAATTCTGCTTTGTTATATTTTTCTGCTTCATATTAATTTGTATTAAGATTGTACCAACGATTTCGCGAACTTGGCCCGGATATAGTCCCGTCTTTTATGCCGAATGACTGCGTGGAAAGTGTTCTTGTTCCGGCGCAACTTGTTGGAATGATGTCGGAACTCAAGGTAACTTTTCAGAATTGCGACAAACGCTCATTGCACATCAGAGTTTCTTTGAATTTATATCTATTACGAGGTACTTCTTATCACAACTAAGTTTGAGTATAGAATGTTTCAAATTCGTGAATGTCAAATATTCATATATCGATTTCTCTATTACAATTATATTCCGCCACCTTATAGTTTAAAGTTTTGGAAAATCCTGATTATTCTCAACGTTTGGCATTTTGTAAAATGCTTGACGCTCGCTGATTTGAAGAAAGTCAATGCGTGAAATTTGTCATAGATTTCTCCATGTCATATTTAATTTTATTTATAGGACAACCCGTTTGTGGAACAAATTATCAATGTGTTTTCTGACAATGGAACGGGATATATGAACTTCGAAAACTTTCTGGATATGTTCAACGTTATGAATGATCAAGCATCCGTTGATTTGAAAACCATCTACTCCTTCAAGATTTTTGGTAAAAAAATAATACATTGAAAACAAAAAATTGACTTAAAAAATCAAAGTGCATTCCCTAGAAGCTAATTAATTGAAATCGAGATATCTGCAAAAAAAAAATTCCTACAAAACTCATATATATACCGATCAAAATGTTATCTCCAAAAAGCAATACCTCAGTCATGAAGGCTAGAATAAAAAAAATTAAATATAATTTAAATTCGTGATGGACATTTCCATATGCTTATAGATAACGACAAGGACAAATCACTGAATTCTACAGACTTGAAATGGGCACTACAGAAGCTAACTAAAAATGAACTTAATAGAAACGAGATTGAATTAGTCGTCGAAAAGGTAAACCATCGGAAATATCAGTAGCAGAAAATCTTTGCATGTCGAGGAAAAAATTTAAAATTTTTATTCAGATGTTGTTGCTGTTGAGGTCAAATAAATTAATTTTTTTTTATTGAATATTATGTCAATATGATAAATCAATTATCGTGTTATTGATAATTACAAAATAAAATAATTATTCATATATATTCAACACTGACATCTATATCTCGGCCTCTATTTTAAGATATTTCTGACAAATCGCCATTTTTTTCCAGCAATCATTTACTTGAGATATAGGACATATTACGCCAGTAATATTTTTATTATATTGTTCAACATCTAGGTTATTGAGGAAAGCGAGATGGATGACGATTGGGAAATATCATTTATGGAATTTGAACATGTCGTAGCTAGGTCTCCCGACTTTAAAAAGTGAGTACTTGAAATCAATGTCTACAAGGGTATCGTGCCAACTTATAACACAATGTAGGTCCGAGAGTGGTACTTTTATTATTTGTTAAAGTATAGGCAATTGTTTCAGGTCACATGCACCCCACACCAATTTTAGAATATAATTAATAAAGTAGTGTTTCGAATGATTTGTGAAAATAATGCATTATTTTTCATTTTCTGTTTTCGGCCAACACCAGTACATTTCGACTGAGAATATGAAGGACTTTTCAATCTATTTTCTAACTTCAAACAAGAGAGGAGGCGCCAGAATCTACTTCTTGTGGCTTTTGTTTCATCAGTTATTTTGTAATAAAATACCTTGGATTTATTAATACTTTGTATTCTATGCAGGCTATTCGTAACTGCGCAGACGTTAGTTAAAGTTTAGTCAAGTGGCAATAGCGGCCTATTCGATTAATACTTACAATTTTGTAAGTATTGTATACAGAAAAAAAAAAACTGACGGTATCAACGTAGAATCAGATGCATTTCCCTCTGACGGCAGCTTATTTTTCTAATTACTGAAATCGAGGTGTTTAGGAATCATTCCCCATCGCGGTGAAATGTGAATTTGAACATAGACTGCCCTGTCACATCATATCATCAACGCCACATAATTTCAAATCTGATCAAAAATGTAGCTTACGTTTCACCATATATATTCAATATTTCAACATTTTGAAGGTGAAAAAATCAACCAACACTTGCAAATGATGGACTTGCAAAAATAACCTATATATATTTAGATATAATATTAGAAATAATATATATAACACAAACTCAGAAAGGGTAGTTGTTGAAAGGTTAGACAACTTTATTCAAAAAATTACAATAGTCCGTATATCTTTGCTTTGATCACATTGAAATAGCATTAATATTTATATAATCATCATTTCATTTACATGCCTTTGATGAACCTATGCTATGCCCTGCTTTGTTGATGCCAATTTAAGTCTCAAAATCGACAATATGCAAAGTTAGATATTTTAAAGAATCTATATCGACTATAATTAACTTTAAATATGTTAGAATATTAACTTGCCTCAAACATCCTGATTTTAAGCTTTCATTATCATCAACTGCTTATATACTATACAGAAGCAATATGCTCGTCAGCTCTACAATTTAGGGGAGTGTTTCCCGATTTAGAAGGTAATAAAACTATTTGTAGCCCATAATAAATGCGGGTGGGCAAAGGTGAGACATGGTGCACAGTGGAAAATCAGCTCTCACACTCGTACTATATGCGGTATGCGGTTCGATGTTCTAATCCGTCTTTAGGTGAGTTACAACGTTCCCGCAAACGTACAACGGCCGTGTAGAGCGACCCAAGCTATAAGGTGAAATTGGTTTTGGGAGGTTGAAACTAAAATTTCACCATTCCAGTTTTTTTTTTTCTACTTTAGTCTTTCCAACATGACAAACCACCGTCTGATATTTTTCAGCTATAATCCACTGTAAAATATTCACGACGTTGGCGAGTGGATGTGCTTTCCTAATCTCGCCGTGGGACAGTCTGAAAATATGTGTTTCCTATGGGGAACAATGGACTGGGCTTCAGTGGGACATGCTCCACTCGGCACAATTCCGCAGTGTTTGATCCATTAAGTGCCTAGAGGCCTAGATATGCATTAGGTTTTGTGTAATATTATGGTATCTTCCGGCCCATGGCCCAATATGGAATATATATATTCGAGAATCAAAAATTTTTTCAGATGTGAAAAGTAATTTAATTTGTTTACGGAATTTTTTGAAAAATATCTAAAATATTTTGGGTGAACATTGATTTCAATAATATTAAATCTCCAAATTTGAAGTCCCCTCGTTCTTCAGTAGACGACAATGCTTATTTTTTGCTTATTTTTAGGGGAATACTTTGTTGGATTTAACAGAATGCCCCTTTGTGCCCAAGGTCTGTCTGAATTAGCCCCACAAGTGGGGTACAGTGGGACACTTAACAAATTTTTTTTAAAGCATTTGGTGGAACGATATGTAACGCTGAATAAAAACTACATTTACCCCTCTCTGCATTAGTCCCGCAAAGTGAAATGAATGCGCAGAATAAACGGCTCAAAATATGCACAAGAAAAAAAGTGTCCCAACCTTCCCATGTATTTGACTGACCATCTACACCAGGGGTCGGCAACCTTTTGTCTTTCGCGGGCCAAAATTACGGATTGCAAGTCATTGGAGGGCCGCACATATTTTTAGAAAGTTGAAAACCAAACGATACACCGCTCGGATAGATTTATTTCCTCATTGCATTGCATCTCGAAAAATTCCATTTGAATATTTTCGGTGCCATTGAACCCTTTGCACTTAGCGTCTGCTTTAAAATTTTCTGCGTTTCGTTGTCATTTGTCTAATTATAATTAAATTATAGGCTCATTACATGAGTATGGTGGCCCATCGTTGTCACGCGTAAAATTGAAAAAACAAAAATAAAAAAAATAAAAAAAAACTTGAAAAAAGTAAAATCAAAAAATAGTTGTGAAAAAACATAAAAAAAATTAAAATAAAATTAAAAAAAAATAAAAATAAAATGCAAAAAATATTTAAAAATAAAAACGAAAATTAAATAAAAACGGAATAAAAAAAAGTAAAAATAAAATTGAAAAAAAAACAAAAAACGTGAATATGAAGAAAATAAAAAGGTTGACAACGATGGGCCGCCTCGTGGCCCATCGTTGTCACGCGTTTTCATTTTGAGAAAATTTGCTTCGGCTTGGGACCAACGTTGTCATGCATAATCCTACGCGCACAAACGGTGTTCCCTGGGTTTCTAACTCATTACAGATTTTCTTAAGCAATATTCAATAAATTTAATATGAAAATGTTCTATAAATTCTCCATGATACAAGTTTAACTAGAAGTAATATATATATTTATAATAATGAATAGGAGAATATAGAATTGAATACGAAAATTCGAGAAATTTGTTTTTACGTGTAGAAGGTAATTGAATTGGAGAATGCTGCTTAAGTGCTCAGTTGTCCGGACACTCCGACACTGCGATACCGATACCGTCTGATCGTACCCGATTTGACGAGCCATTGGCTGTACCGGTAGCGTACCGTAGGTTACCGGTACCGTACCTCCATGACAATTACAATAACCGGCACCATGCTGGTAATTAATATTACGTACGCCTGTAACTGGCTGCGCTCAATTCATCACTCGATTCAGTATATTCTACTAGCTAGACTTCCGTATCTCCCATTCGTTTCATGGGTGATTGCATGGGTACAGGCACGATCAGCCGGTACCGGTATCGCAAGAGTGTCCGGACAACTGAGCAGTTGAGCAGCATTCTCCAGTTCAATTACCTCCTACACGTAAAAACAAGTTTCCCGAATTTTCGTACTCAATTCTATATTCTCTTATACAGAGAGAGAGAATTATTGTTTCGTCAATTTCTTATCATTATTATAAATATAGTACTTTCAGTTGAACTTGTAGCATGGAGAATTTATAGAACATTTTCGTTCTGAATTTATTGAATATTGCTCAAGAAAATCAGTAGTGAGTTAGAAACCCAGGGAACACCGTTTGTGCGCGTAGGATTATGCATGACAACGTTGGTCCCAAGCAGAAGCAAATTTTCTTAAAATAAAAACGCGTGACAACGATGGGCCACGAGGCGGCCCATCGTTGTCAACCATTTTATTTTTTTTTATTCACGTTTTTTTTTTTCAATTTTTTTTTTTTATTCCGTTTTTATTTTATTTTCGTTTTTATTTTTAATTTTTTTTTTAATTTATTTTTTTACTTTTTTTTTTAATTTTTTTTTAAATTTTTTTTATGTTTTTTTACAACTATTTTTTTATTTTACTTTTATCTTAAGTTTTTTATTTTATTTTTTATTTTTTTTTCAATTTTACGCGTGACAACGATGGGCCACCATACATGAGTAATGTTTCGTGGTCGTTAATGTTCGCTTTTGATTGATTGGCCACATTATTCATCCACGACTTACGCACATTGAAAAAAGAAGAAGCCAAAATTGGCTCGTTATGGTGGGCTGGGGTCTATTAGTGTTACAGACAATACTTAATAAGAAATGAATTCATATTCTTGTACTCTTTGGCTCCATATTCTGACAGACAGAAAGCGTCGTGTTGTAAATACAAGAGAGCTACGCCCAAATATATGGACACGTCTGTTCGCAGTACAGTACGGTTTACCGTACCGTCAGATCACAGTCTACAAATATATTCACACCAAGCGAAGCAGTACAGTAGGACACAAAATGGCGTCCGATGTCCGCAGAATGTTTAATGACGTCATAGCAAACAAAAACAAATCTCACAGAGCTAACAGAAATATTTAAAATGAATGAAAGTGATAGCCTTCTGGGGAAAATTTTTATCTTTAACCACTGAAAATTTCAAAGCAATTGGTCCAGTATTCGAAGAGAAAAGCGGTTTTTTAATATTTCCACTAGGTGTATTATTCTGTGTGAAACAACAAGAACAACATAATATTGAAACGATCGTTATGTCCACTACGTGTCCAATAATACATTTTTACGAAAAAGGTGTGTCCCTGTTGTAACGATTTTTCCAGCTCATCACCGTCTGTCTGTACTGGTAGTGAAAAGTGTCAGTCATATTTGAAAGCTTAACAACCAGTCACGCACATTTTTACTCGGGTATTATAGTCAAAGTTAGCTCGTTTTTGTGCTTCTGTTAGCTATTTGCCAGATATTAGTTGTGCTCTCAAAATTTAGGTACAAATCAATTAACTCACTAAACACTTTGTATTACGAAGTGTTTTAGTTCAGTTGAATGGTCAAAAATTAGCTTAAATTTAGCTATCGGTGCTTTCAAATAAAAAAGGTTTAATATATATGTTGAATTAAAATGGTTATTATCAAACATCTAAAACATTTTGTAATCGCCAAACTCGCGAAAACACCCAAGGAAAGCGAAAGGAAGATAAAGAAATCTTGGTGAAGGGTTGAGATAACATGCATTGAACCATGGATACCTTCGCAATAATTGTGATTGAATCCGCATTTACAACTTTGTCATATGATTCTGTCGCCTCATCGGTTATCTCTGTCTGCACTCGCTCTTTGTACCTTTGGGGTTAATAAGGAAATCCTGAGCAATGATTGATATTAATATAAATATATATTAGTATACAACTACATTGCACCTACAACAGAGCACTCACGTCAGATTTTAGTCACAATAAAGAATTTTATGCAAAGACGATTAGAACAACACAGCACCAACGTCGGAATTTATACATAATAATGAATTCCATACATATATATAGACATTTAGAATGTCTTTATTAATTTTGCCGACACTGTTTTCACCCAACA